GGTCAGACAGACCTGGCTTCTAATCCAGGCTCCGCCTCTAATTTAACTGTCTCCATGCCTTAGTCTTCTCTCTTCTCATCTCTAATATATTGAAAATAATATCTATGATGTGATGTTATGAGGATGAGACAGTATGTATATAAAATACTTTCCTATAATGCCTATTATTTGGTAAATAGTAGTTACTGTTACAAATGAATGGAACTAAATGTTTTAAGTTCCTGCTATATGAAAGGACCCAAGGTCCATAATTTTTATTTTATTTTTTTATCCTCACCTGAGGACATTTTTTTTTTCATTGCTTTTAGAGAGAGAGGAAGGGAGAGAGAGAGAAACATCAATTAGTTGTCTCCCGAACACACCCAGACCTGGAATATGTATCCAGATCCAGGATTGAACCCGCAACCTAGGCATGTGCCCTGACTGGGCATTGAACCCTCAGCCTTTAGGTTACAGGACAACGCTCCAACCAACTGAGCCATAGCGGCCAGGGTGGTCCATAATTTTGAAAAATTTTATTTACTTAATGCTCACAGCTGCATTTCTATTACTTAGATGAGGAAAATGAACCTTAGAAAGGCAACATTAATTCATGCATTCATTCATTCTTGCAGTTTATCCATTCGAGAAGCAATGAACCTCTGCCATGTGGCAGACACTGTGGTAGGAGCTGAGAACTCCCATGAGGGGGTTCAGTCCAGGGCCTCACAGCTGGTAATGATAAGTAGTATTTAGTGAGCACTTACTATGTGCCAGGCACTGTTCTAAGCACATTGTATTGATCAGATGAATTAACTCATTAAATTTCCATAACTGCGACAAAGCACTGGACAGATGAAGAAACTAAGGCAGAGGGAAGTTAAGTGAATTGCCTGAGGTCACATGACTAGGAAGTGGCAGAGCTGGGATTTAAATCCAGGCAGGCAGACTCCAGAATGTGATTTCTTAGCCACTTCACCACAGCTTCTTTTTAGCAAGTGATTTACAGTCATATCCCTGACCGCAGTGGCCCTTCCGCCAGGGTGTATGAATGTCTCAGGATGCCAGTAGTGGCCCCCCTCACTCTTTGCATCTTCTTTAGGCCTTGTCCTTTGAATCTATTGCCTTACCTCCTTTGATTCCTGAAGGCTAAAGATTCCTTTAAACCTAATCTGGAAGGCAGGAGAGAAGGTGGGAGTCCCCAGGGTAGCAGGGAGGGATTAGTTGCTGAGGGCGGGGAAGACAATCTGGTGGAGTCTGATAAGGTCCACATCTGAAAAGGCTGAGAGGGTTCTGGCTTCAGCCAGGTCATATCTAATTCTTATTCTGAAAAATGAGGGCTTTAAAATGTTTTTGGTCCAGCCCTGGAGGAAGCAGGTTTTGTTCTAACACTTTGCTGCTTGGAGGCCAGGTACGTCCGGGTGTCTACGGGCCTGGGCATGTGGCCTAAATAACAGAAGTGGCCTGAGCGTACTCCTCTCTCTTCATGCTACTGTAAGGAAAACAAAACACAGGAGCAACTGTCACTTGGCTCCGGTATCAGAGAGACAATAGGGAATGTTAGGGACTGAGGCAGACTCAAAAATGTCTAAGGAAGAAGCCATTCCTCGGCTCTCTGGTTCATTGCTGACATGAAGCAATAGAGACGTATTTTTCTGAAAGGAATGGAAATTTGGATTTTTATGAAAAAAATCTGTATTTTCTAGTTACTGGTAACTATCATTTAACAACTATAATAACAAAGACACACTGTTGTGGGCTCAGTAAATGTTTCTGCAGACCAGACTCAGGATGCAAGCCCCAGTAGGCAACCTTTGAGCAAGACTCTCTTTCGGGAGACTCCGGAGAGAAGCTGGCAGAATTTAGCCTCCAGGATGAAGCAGGAAGGAGAGTCTGGGGGAAGAGAAAGACAGGGGACCAGAGGCAAAGCAAAAACAGTCACATGTGGCAATGACCATCGTCTGCCTTCTTGTACCTGTCCCCGGTGCCATTGCAGTGGCTTAGGGAAAGGAAGGCATGAATGCCTAGAGAACCAGTTCCTTTAAAAGTGCTTGGGCTCCGTTTCTTGCTACATGTGCCTGAGGCTGTCTCTTGTACGAGTAAACAGAATTTAACCTTTTGTTGTTGTTCTCCTCTTTGAGGCAGACAAATATAAGCGGCCACAACTTGTTCGTACTACTTGAGCAAGGATTTGCAAAAGGACAAAGACAGCCCGCAATTCTGGAGGCCAAATTCAGGGTCAGTTTTCTCTCCTCAGGTTAACATTAACCTTTAGGTAAACGGGGCCACTCCTCCTCAAGGGCTTGGTCAATAGGGGCCGTTGTGGAGGAAGGCTAGGGGAGTGGAGCTGGCTGTTTACCTGGAAGGAAGGGAGCAGCCCAAGGTTGAAATTTCATGTACCTTATCCCTCTTGAACTCTGCCAAGAATGTGCCTATTCACTGGGAAAAGCCGCCTCTCAAGGCCCAGGTTTCGTCAGTTAGTTGCACTGAGCACAACTCTTTCTCCCTCTGCTCAGGTGTCACCATAAAGGGACTTGGGTGTAAATGGCAGCCCTCTTCAGCAAGAGAGAGAAGCAAGCGGCAATCCTTGGCTGACTTAATAATTCTGCCTCCCTCCGACGGGGGAGCGGTGAGCATTCATGAGATGTGACAATTCTTTGAAAAGCTCACACAAGGGTCTCTTATTAAACTATGTATAGGTTACAGACTCCACCCCCCCCCCCGAATTTTGGTTTGGCAAAGGGGCAGAGAGAGGTGGAAAGGTGTAGTAATGTTAAAAACATGGCTGTAAGGTGTAGAAATTGTCTAGAATTAGCAAGTCTGGGTACAGAGGAGAAGTGACTCCCAAGAGACTGTGTGACTCTGCTGAGCCTGCGGTGATGGCATACTGCTGGTTGGAACCCAAACTGGTGGAGTCCCTCTGGGAAACAAGATGGTGATATAAAGAAATAAATACATAACGTACGTAAGCTACATAATTTTCATAGCCATTAACCTAGTAATCCTGGTTCTGGATAAAATAATCCTAAAAATGTCAAAAGACTTCTGTACACAAAAGTGTGCATTTTAGCGCTATTTGTATAACAATAAAATTTACATTGCCAACGATAGGGTCATCATTAGTTCAATTCAGACACATCCCTTCAGTGGAGTGTTATACAACCATTAAAAACTAGAAATATGTGAACTTGTCCACAACCGAAAGGATGTTTATGATATGATATTAAGTGGGCAACCAGCAGATACAAAATTCTTTATGTGTTATTATTACAATTACATAAGAATAATTATGCTTAGAAATTAAGAATAAAAGAGAATACACCAAAGGACCGAAGTTGCCATGTTAGGATAGAAAAGCTAAAGATGATTGTTCCCTCTACCCTTTCCTAAACTTTCTTTAATGTCATAGTATCTCAAGAATGGTAATCGTACGTTAGAGTAAAGATATTAATATCTTTTCAAAAAACTGAAGAGTTTGTGAGTGCAGAACAGGTAGCTAATAGCAAGCAGGCATGAAAAGAGAGGGACTGAGGTGGTAAGGGGATTGGCAGGATTTTGGAGGTGAGGAGAGAGGTGGAGAACACCTGAAAATAGCCTTGATGGCTACAGAACCCTTGGATTTGAAGGGGCTATAAATCGGTTCATTGGGCCTGGGAAGTTCTGGGTTACTCAGAAGCAAACTAAGCACATTCCTAAGGATTAGTGAAGCAGGGTATTAAAAACCATTTAAAAAATGACTTAATGTTTGAAATTTAAACAAACATCAAAGAAGTCATGGGGATGGAGGAATGAGAACTTTGCTGGACTTCCTTATAGGTATTTCACGAATGGTCTTGTGTTTCTTTTGGGTGGGATGGCCTAGGGTCGGGTAGACACTATAACCTCTTGTGGCGTCGGGGTCTCTGAGGCTCTGCATCAGGCCCCGGGCTTGACTCTTGTTCAGTCAGTAGCAAGTCAGCCCTGCACTCCCTGAGCACCAGTGGCTTTCACCCTCAGGCCAGCAGATTGCGGGCGGCAGGTTTCTTGCAGTGTCGAAACAGTTAACAGACCTCCTCGAAGCATCCATCTGCACCCACTGGGACTGACTCGTCAGCTAAGAAGGCTTAGGCCTTGGTCCCGAGGCTGTCTCCAGACACTCACTAACAATAAGATTGTTTATCAGGTGGTGCTGTGCACAGAGGCATCTCAGCTTGCTGGTGAAACCCCAGGAGGGAGGAACCAAGGCCAGGGTTGGCTGAGTGAGTCCCTAAGGTCATAGTCAGTGGCAAAAGGAGGAATCAACTCCCTCCTGGAGCCCTGCACCAACCGTGGAGGTGTGGTGGCATTTTGTAAGTTGCAACCTGTTGCCTTGTCTCTGCATTGGTCGACCACCCCCATGAGCAAGGGAGGGGGTCCCTCTGCAGGTGGATCCAAGTAATTGCCGCGTTCTCTGCCCTCTTTCCAGCAGGGGGGCCAGTATTTCCCCAGAGTCTCCTCCCAGCCCTGGAAGATGCTCCAGCATCAGCCTTTGTAAGGCAAGGAAGGGACAGTCAGCAGAGGGAGAGGACAGTTCCATAGCAGATCTGAAAGAAATCGTCACCCTGGCTTTTGTGAGAGAGAACACAGAGGCGCCAAAGGAGCTTCAGGATGCCCAGCAGCAAAGCAAGAAGAGGAAGAAAAAGAGGTTAGGATTGAAAGAGGGGGAATGGGGATCCACACTGGTAGGAGCAGGAGGGACCTGGGATGAAGGGGGCCTTGGCTGTGTCTGATGAGACTGTCAAAGCCACACTACTTTCAGTTCACATGAACTTTTGATGATCTCTTCTATCAAACGAAATAATGGTTTGTGTAATCTAAAACCACGCTTTGCACTAATTTTCATTCTGTTTGTGTTTAGACTGTCTTTTATTTAAAAAAAAATTGTGGGTGAAGGGTTAGGTCTCCTGCAGCCCCACCCGGAATGGGATGTTCCTGTGTGTGGTCTCCTGTCCTGGCAAGCGTGTCTGTCTCTGTCTTGCTGCTTTTCTTTTTCTCTTTTCCAGATGATTGGTGATCAATCTATCCAACTGCCGATATGAGAGCGGTGAGCATGTGCAGTCGAGGAATCTGCGATGGGAACCCACTGGATTCCCCCAAAGGGCTGGGAAGGGTCACTCTTATGTGTTCTTGAGGGTGAAAAGGGGGGTCTCCAAATCCTGTTCTTTACTGCTCTCAGCGCACTGAACTATTTGAGGAAGCTGGGAAGCTCATTCCGAGAAGATAGGGTTTTGCCCACAGTGACGTGTACTTGAACTATCTCTAGTTCTTGTACATGGTTGTTAGGGGACCTGACTGCAGAGAAGGCAGCCGGTACTGCAATCAGTGGCTCTTTGTTAGAGCACAAGTTCCAAACTGGCAGCCCATGAGCTGAAGATGAACTATGGATTGACTTTGTAGCACAGAGCAGAGAGTTGTCATTATTTTAATTGTCAATGTGGACGCTTTAGGCTGGCCGTGGTCCTCCCCGCCACTGCAGGCACTGCGTCCTTCCCAGGCCCTTGAAGGCATTGGAGTTTGTGTTGGAGTCGGTTATCCATACTAACAGGGATGGCGGGGGGGCAGGCGGGGGGAGAAAGGATGTGATGGCATGTATGTGGCTTTGAAATACATTGTATAATTTTTTCTCCTACCAGTTTACCTTACTAACTAAGCTTGGCCCTGGCTGATGTTAAGGATTTAGGTGTATGTTCCCTGAACATTCAGGGCTTCGTGTTTGGGGGAAAGACAGAGGCCTACTTCCTGGCACGGGAAGGCCAGGGCAGGTAAAACATTCATCCCGGATAACCTTCTGTGGGGACTGCGGGGCACAGGCTGAATTCTTTAATAGCTTTTGACTCTTGGTGTTTCTCTCAGCAATGATGTGGCCAGGCAGGGCAAAGTGGCTCTCAGTCCCAAGGAGCCGAGGTGGCCCACTTCGGCGCTCCTCCCGCACTTCCTAGGCTAACAGGCCTTTCTTTCTCCAACCCCTGGCAGTGCGTAGGGCTGCCCAGCAGTACGGCCTGCGAGAGGGAGGGGAAAACGATGACTGGACTCTGTACTGGACTGACTTCTCGGTGTCGCTGGAGCGGGTGATGGAAATGAAAAGCTACCAGGTAGCTGGGTCAGAGCTGATTCTAAGCATAAGTGTGGCATCTACGCCGCGGGGTCCCTCCGGTCCCCCAGGGGGGTCTTGTGGGTACTCCCATGTCCCCCGTTGTTCATGAATTCCGACTTCCTTTGCAGAAAATCAATCACTTCCCAGGGATGAGTGAAATCTGTCGCAAGGACTTGCTGGCCAGGAATATGAGCCGCATGTTAAAGTTGTTCCCTAAAGATTTCCACTTTTTCCCTCGGACCTGGTGTCTTCCTGCTGAGTGAGTGCCGCTTGTGCTTCCTTCTGCTCTCCCCACCCCGATTCCATTTCCCATAGGATCTCCCCTCTCTCTCCTGTTCAGGACAAGAAGGGATACGGGATGTGGCCAAGGTTGAGAAAACACCGGGCTCTGCCTTTAAAATTAGACAACATTTAGGATTTGAGTGCCTTGGAGCCTGAGCCTGCTGTTGGGATGAAAATTGTATTCTGACCTTGAAAGCTGTTGATTTTGAACGTGTTTCAGCCTTTTAACTGTGCAGTTTCTGACTGTGTAAGGACCACGAGCACTTCTGCAGGGAGAGAGGTGATGGTTAATGCCCAGGTTAGGAGCAGGGAAGAATGCCTGATCTCTGTCCCATGGTGGTGCCATGGGTGGCGGTCAGTGTTTCCACATCTCTGGTCTCACTTTATCCATCTTGAAACTGGACCTCTGTTCCTGATACATAAAAATACTCTGGACCATACCACCAAGAAACAGGAGAAACGTGAGCTGACATGACAGCGGGCTGGGTACAATCTGGTTTTTGAGGTGAGGTCGAGGGGACACTGAGGGTCGCCATCAGAATTGTACTCACACAGAAAAGGCCCCGGACAAGTCCCCCTCTCCCTCTTTGCCCAGTGCTTTCCTGAACCAAGAGCCCCCGGAGTCCCAGACATTCCTCGCTTGTCTGGAACAACTTTCAGGCCTTAGCAGCAACATAGAAGGAAATGTGTTTGCTATCAGGCCAACAGGCACCTCCAGATCTCAGAGCCCCTGAGGACCATTGCAGTTACGTGACTTCTCCAGTGGTCACAAGGCCCCTTTGAGTTAAAATGCAAATCAAGAAATAGAGCAAGACTGAAACTTAGAGTTCAATAAGTTTCTTTCTTCTGAATATACTTTCTTCAAAGGATGTTCAACAATAGCGTTTGTTCCCTTGCACTCTGGCTGGAGTGGAGATATTAAGAGAAAAGGTGAGCCCAGAGCAGGGCAAGAGCCTCGTTGATCTGGGGTCACGTCACTGGGCTTGAGCCAGATTCAGAACTCCAAATCTCCGCTCTGAGAGCCCAGAAAAATCGAACTCCTTGGTCGCGGCTAATGCTATGGGGTGCGCAGTATGTATTAACACCCTGCCTGGACTGTGTCATGTACAAGATAGGTGTCGTTATCCTCATTGCGTAGATGATGGAATTGAGGCTTATGGAGGCCAAGTCCTTGCAAAGGGCTACACTGGTAAGTGGTGCTGCCTGGGTTTGCTCCAGGCCTGAATTCCCTGCAAAGCCCATCTTCTCTCCACTGTGTGGTCTCTCCTATTACCAGACCTCTGGGCACCTATCTATCAAGTCCAAGGCTTTTGTCACATTAGTGTTTTTGTTGTTGTTGTTCTGTTTTTTAAATAAAGAGCTAGCACTCCTTTTTAATGCTCCACATCGAAAAGTGTCTCTCGTTCCCTCCCTGTTCTGGTAGCTGGGGAGATTTGCAGAACTACAGCAGGTCAAGAAAAAATAAGACATACATTTGTAAGCCGGATTCGGGCTGCCAAGGGCGAGGTATATTCATCACCCGGACGGTGAAGGAAATCAAACCAGAGGAGGACATGATCTGTCAGCTCTATATTTCAAAGGTACTTCTTCATTGTGATTATTTATTTTGTTCCCACAGCAGCCTCAGGCTGTAGCTCCACTGGAGCGAATGTGAAATGAGGGCACGGAGGGCAGAGGTTGGGGGGAAGCGGGGCCCTGTCTTCTGCCTTGGACTTCGTTAGACCAAGCCTTCTGACCAGGGGTGTGAATTGTGCCTGGGCCAGAGTGGTCCTCAGCCTTGCCCCCCTGTGCATTGGTCTGGCCCTACCAGGCCGGTCCCTTGCCTGTAACAGATGACAGCTGGGAGAGCGCCTTTGGTCTGTGGAGGCCCCAGCTCACTGAGGGCAGGAGAGTAGTCCTGGAGGGGTAAGGGTAGCCCTCGTTACTCCGTGGCTGGAGATCAGAGGTCACCTCCTCTGTGGCCCACTGCAGCAGGGGGAGCCCTCGAAGTGCGCGTGGAGGGGGACGCACGGCCCGCACCGCAGGCCCACACCGCAGGGAGAACTCTTACAGAACTGCAATGGCAGCAGAGCCCTGCATGGTGACCTGGTCTTCGTCACAGGACTTTTTAATGTTATTTCGTTTAGTTGTTGGGAGTCCTCTTGGAAGTGGTTACTCATGCCATTTGGCAGAATAGGAAACTGAGGCACAGTGTGGTTTAGTGACTTCCACAAGGTCATGTGGCGGATCACAGAGCCCAAACCCCCTTCTCCCTGTCCCCAGCCTGGGCCAAGTCTGCGCTCTGTCACAAGAGGCAGTGTCGGAGCTGCCACCACCGAGAACTGGATGGGGGGCTAGTGATCTTCCAGTCTGAATTCCTCCTCCAGTGCTTGTGTAATTTCTGCTCTCCCCCCACCCCCCAGCCCTTTGTCATCGATGGGTTCAAGTTCGACCTGCGAATTTATGTGCTGATGACATCCTGTGACCCTCTCAGGATTTTTACATATAACGAAGGACTGGCCCGCTTCGCCACCACCTCCTACTCTCACCCTTGCACAGACAACCTCGTGAGTTCAGGGAAGAATGATACAAAAATCCTAGTTAAAACCACGTTCTCAAACACTGTGGATGTGGCTATCATTTGCTGAACACTTACCACGTGCCAGGTTACATACATTCTTCCCTTTAGCCCTCCCAGGAGCCCTCAGAAATAGGGATTATCACCTCCCTCTTACAGAGAGGAAATGGAAACCCATGGAGCGGAAGGACTGGTCCAAGGTCACAGAACTGGGAAGAGATCAGGCTGGGACTCGAAGCCAGGTCTGCCCGGCTGCAAAGCCAGTGCCCCAGTTCTACGCCCCTGGAGTGTCCCTCAGGCAGGGCACCACCCAATCTCTGCAGGAACTGGAATTTCTCATACTGCAGGATACCCCTCTTACTTCCTCCATGTTGCCAGTTTAAGTAAGCCCTACGACTTCCCCTTTCCTCTCCATCTCTTTAAGCCTCAGGGGCCAGGGGGGCACAAGCAGGGAGCGGGAGCCCTGCCCTTCCTCTGACCCCTCAGACTTGTGTCTCTTCCCCCAGGATGATATCTGCATGCACCTGACTAATTATTCCATCAATAAGCACAGCTCCAATTTCATTCAAGACGCTTACTCTGGCAGCAAGAGGTAAGCAAGCGGCCTCGCTTCTCTTTGCTTTCCCTGCCAGTCTCAGAGCCGCTCCCTGGGGTCCTACCCAAGCCCTGTCATCCCCCTCAGTGTGTCCACCTTGGGTCACATGCCCTCAGAAAGTATTCCTTTGCCTCTAAACCCACAACAGACTCCTTAGTCTCTGCCCCCTGGCTGTTAATCATTAAAAGAAGGCCACGTCATAAACCCGAGGAGGACGGGAGGGGGAGCGATAAACATGAACCGTTTCCCCAGCAAAGTACACACGCGCGCGCGCGCGTACACACACACACACACACCCCGAAACACACCCTTGTTACAGGTGGCCCTTTGGACATTTCCAAACCAACAGATATTTACTGATTACTGGTCCGCCACAGAAAAGGGGGGTGCCAGGCAGTTGTGCTTAAGCTTGTGGTTCCTTGGGGTGTTGCTCCAACAGAGATTCTCAAATGCGGGGTCACCATGCCTGGTGTGACATGCCATGTGACCTGCTGGCTTTAAGATTCTCCAGAAGGAGGGGGAAAAATGAGAGGAATGCATGAGTGTCTTCCCAAGCAGTTTTTATATGCATGCTGTCGTCTAGTCCTGTCTCATTGGAGTTTTAACGAAAAAGGGGGACTGAAGAATGTGACTGACGAGACAAAAGGGAAAGTAAGAGGAAGTATTTATGGAGGCCTCCGGTGTGTTGGGGCCTGAGCTGGGTGCTTTGTGTGCATTTTTTTTTTCATTAAATTTTTACAACACTCTGGCAGAGGCACTGTAATCTACCCTTTGTAGGTGGGACTATGGGTTAGGTGCCACCTCTATTTTACAGACGAGGAAACCAAGTCTCTGAGAGCTTAAGTAAGTTGCCCAAGGCCACACAGTTCTAAGTGGGACAGCGGGGTAAGGACGTAGGCCTACCGGCCTCCAAGGCACATGCTGCTCACCCTGCGCCAGATTTAAAGGACTGATCAACAGGCAACGTGTTTGACCTCAGAGCATCAGAGGGGCGCGGTGCGCAGGGAGATTCTGCAATGCTGTCGGTGGCAGAGTTCCAAAAAGCAAATGGAAAATCACCAGATTAAGCCTGTTTGAAGGGGACGCGTCAGGCCTGGTGGGGGCCATCTCCCCCTTTCAGGAGGCCCCAGTGCCTGAGCCCCACCCCCAGCCGCACTCGCCGCCTCCGGCTCCGTGCGGCCCGGTTGCCACTCCCGCTCCGACTCTTGCCGGCTGAGTCACCTTGGGCAAGTCCCTTCATTTCTCTGATCCTCCGTGTTTTGGTCTTTAAAATGAGGGTGATAAGACTCCATTCCTGGTATTCTTTGCCCTGCCTACCTCATAGGGACACTGTGAAACTCAAGTGACCTTTGATAGCAACATGGGTAATAACTGTAGTTCATGTTCTTTTTATTTCTTAGTCTAAGGGCATATAATTGGAGGGTCCTCATTTCCCTCCTCTTATGAGAACTGACGCTGCGACAACAAGCGTGGGGCCCCCAGGCCGGGACTGGAACCTCACGGAGTGCCAGGGCTGAGGGGAGGCGGGCGGTGCTGTTCTGCTGCCCTGCCTTCCTGCCCTCCTTGCCTCTTCCCTGCCTCCCCTCTCTCTCTCACCCGGGTCTGGCCTCATCCCTCTGATCTCCATCCACCCTCCGCTGGAGCGGTTGCCTACTCCCCGGCCCCCGCCCTGTCCTCAGTGGCTCGGCCTCTGTCCCCTGAGCTCCAGACTTGGCTCTCCTCAGCTGCACCCGGCTGCCTCCCGGTTGCCTCCAGGGCAGCTCTTCCCGGCATGGGTGTGTGCTCTCTCCTTGCTCCCACCTCAGCATTCCCTGCCCGGCTTCCCCATCTCCACTTTTGAATCTGCAGCATTAGAGTTTGGTGTCATCTTGGATGGCTCTTCTTCCAGCGAGTTATTGAATCACAAGCATTTCTCCTTCAAATGTCCCTTTGTCCCTTTCTTTCCACCAGGCCCAGACCTCACTTCGGCCTTTGGCCGAAGGCCTGCATTGACCTCCTCGCCCTTCTTGGCTCTAGGCGCCTCTGCCTACCCTCTCTATACCCTCATTTCCTCACCTGTAAAATGACGTAATAAAATAAGAATTCTAGCTGGTCAGCCTCACAGGCATGCCGTAAGGACCGATTGAGACGATGTGTATGAACGGGTTTTAAAAAACAATAACCCCCATGCAAGTGGATTCTGTTATTATTAAACATTCCGTATACTCATTACTTCACTCTCAGTAACCAGTGTGGCTCCCAGATGCCTAGAACCTCAAGTTGAAACTCCTTTGCTAAGTCTACTATAATTTAACCAGACCCCACTTTCCACTATTATGACTATTACACTGATAGTCAACATTTTATTTTTTGAGCACTTGCTGTATGCCAGGCACTGCTCTAAGAAATTTGTATAACTCCATCCAGTCAATCCGCACAAAAACACTGTATTATTATCATTCAGATTTTACATATGAGGACACAGGTGTAAAAAGGTTAAGCGACTTACCCAAGGTGGTACCTCTAGGAAGTGGCAGAGCTGGAATGAAAACTTCTGAGGCCGCACCTTAACCCCTGGGCACACGGCCTGTGCCATGGGACCCGCAGTGTCCCGCCAGGACGCTCTCTAGCTCGCATTTGGTATGCAGGCCTCGCTCACTCCCACCTCTCTGCCTGTGTTTCCCTTCAACTGAAAACATGGCACAACATTTTTGAAGGCCCTTCTGCTTCACTAAACTTCCATGTTGCCTTCTCTGATGGGTTCTGGGTGCTGGTCCAGCCACATAACCGCTGTAGAGCGGGTGAAACCCACCGTCTCTATGGGCATCTGTTTCCTCACTTATCAGGTGAGAGGATTGGGTTCCATCTCGAAGGACAAACCTATGAAATCTGAGTGAAACCACCCACAGTGACCTTTCCAACTTTGAACTGCAACCGCCCTTATGGCCAACATCAGCTGGAGCCTATAACTGCCCTTTGCTTGGTACACATGTTTGCCTTGTGTCCCCTGTTGTACCTGAGCTCCTTGAAGGTGAGAACGGTGCCCTGGCCTTCGGGTACTTGCCATGTTGCCGGGCAGAGTCCTCCCTTCCCTTCCTCTCTTTTCCTTTCACCTTCTTCTTTCTCTTCCCCATCTTTTGAGACAATCTACTTTTTATATTGACCCCCTCCCAGTTCTTTCTTCTCCAGCTTGAAGCCAACTGCACCCCCAGCTAATCCCCAGCCAGGCTGCAAACTCAGTAGGAATGGTGAAGGAGAAGACAGAAAAACTGGAAAGCCGGCAGGCCTCTGTGGCGGAGACCAGGCCGTCTTCGTCTTTCAGGCTGCCTGGCCCGTGGCTGGTGTGTTGAATTGAATTGACTAACCATTGGGCATTATGAAATTACACCATACATATTCACTGTGATGTGCCTGAGTCATCCAGAAGAGGTCATGTTATAATTTGTAACATCTGTTATAAGAAGGCAAGGAAGTATAAAATCTATTTTGGGAAAATTTATTTCCCGGTTTGGCAAATTGAACACATTTTTTGCACTTGAAAGGACTGGCTTCAAGCTATATGGAAAATGTGTTTATTTGTAACAACGTTCGCTGACAATGGCAGGTAGAGGATGTGGGCCTCTGGATTGAGTAGTTGTTGCTTATCTGTCTTCAGAGGCGTCCTTGGCTGTTTCATGTATGTTGACTTCCCAAATTGTCCTTAGGCTCCCATGACAGAGGTGGCAGTTTCTTGGGATTCCCTCGGTACGTGAGCTTTGCGTGCACAGCAAAACACGCATTGGCTGGCCAACCCTGCGTCCTCCTTTTTGACTCCATTGCCTGGGGCCCAGTTGAGCTCTTTGAACCGTCTGGCGGAGCCATGTCTCCTGTCATTCTCTTTGATCTTCATTCTCCTGCATCTCTTCCTCCCATTTTTCCACTTCCCACTTTGATTCTCTGTGCCCATGAGTGTGCATGTGAAGGGACGGTTGTCTGACCCGATCATTGCCTCTCGGTCCTGTTGGATTCGCCCTCTCTCTGAACTACCGAGCGTGGAGCTGGCGGGGGCAACCCCTCGGATGTTTCCTCATGAATGTCTCCACACAGAGCAGGCATCCTCAGATCCCTGTGGTAGGGTGACCAGGCACCTTGGCTGGCCTGCGAGTCAGGGGTTTCCTGGGATGTGGGACCTGCAGTTCTAAAATCAGGACCATCTGGTTTGCTCGGAGCAGTTGGCAACTCTGTGGAAATGCCCTGGGGCTGCTTTTTCCATGTGGGCAATCCTAAAACAAAATTTCTATGACTTTAGTGTCCACAGAGTCCCCTCACGTGACTGAGAGGAATCAGGTAGTTGTGCTCTTAAAAGGCTCCCTAAATACTTCTGATGAACACCAAAGTCTGAGACATTGCCACCAAAGCAGAAGCATGATGCAGGGTATTGGTTTTTAATTCTTTTAGTCATCCATTCAGTCTCTGCCCAAGCCTTCAGGCGTGTTCTGGGTCACAGTGAAAGTGCCCAGCAGGGTTTACATATCGTTATACCTGCACCTACTCCAGGGCTGTGGAGTCCTAAGGAGTGTGGCCCTGTGGTTCCCGCGGGCCCCTTCTGAGCTGACACAGAGCTGGTGACACCCTGGCTCCTGGGTGCGCATCCCTATTGGCTCTGGCCCCTTACTTTCCCCAGGAGTTTGTGGTTCCCAGCACGCCATGGCCTTGGATGCCCAGAGGCAGGCTGCCCTGCCTCACAGCCTGTGGTTCCCCTCCAGGAAGCTCTCCACCTTCAACAAGTACATGGCGAGCCAAGGCTACAATGTGGAGCAGATATGGAGAGATATCGAGGATGTCATCATCAAGACAATCATCTCGGCCTACCCCATCATCAAGCACAACTACCACACCTGCTTCCCCAACCACACACTCAACAGCGCCTGCTTTGAAATCCTGGGCTTCGATATATTGTTGGACCGCAAACTCAAGCCCTGGCTGCTGGAGGTAGGGAGGTTGGGGCGAGGAGTGAAATCTGGCCCGTGTTCTTGGGGTCGGCTGGCTTCAGGGTCACCTCTCCGCCCTCCCAGCTCAGCTAGATGTGTTTAATCAACTTAATCGCGCCAGTTCCTGCCACCGTGCTTGCTGCCTGGGGCTTGTCCCTAGGCTGAGAAGTGGCCACCAGAGGGGGGTAGACGGCCGGGAATTGGAGACTCTCTCGTGCCCTTTTGAGGTTCACCCAGACTTGGAAGCGCTGATCCCAGGCGCAGAGTGATTCTAAAGACAGCTCTACCTTTGTAACGGAGCCGTCTCCCAGGAAGTGGGTGTTCTTCATCAAAGCTGGGTTGATGACCCGGGCTGGTGCATTTCAGCTGGTTGGGGCATGGACTGAAAGGTCGCGGGTTGGATCCAGATCAGGGCACATGCCTAGGTTGTGGGTTCAATCCCCAGTCGGGGCGTGTGTGGGAGACAGCCAATTGATGTTTCTGTCCTTGTGGATGTTTTTCTCCCTCTCTCCCATCCCCTCTCTCTAAAACATGTCTTTGGGGGAGGATAAAAAAAATTTTTTTTCTAAGAATTTTTATTTTTTAAAAGATTTAATTTATTTATTTTTAGAGAGACGGGAAGGGAGGGAGAAAGAGAGGGAGAGAAACATTAGTCTGCGATCCAGGCATGCACCCTGACTGGGAATCGAACCCATGACATTTTGGTTTGCAGGCCAGTGCTCAATCCACTGAGCCACACCAGCCAGGGCTGAAAAAATAATTTTAAATAATAAAAAAAAATTTTTTTCAAAAGCTGGGTTGGTGATGTTGAAGATCAGATGGGAGCCATCAGGCCTGGCTCTCAGGGGACTGGATCACTCAGTTCCGGGCACTAACAGAGAATGGCCTGGTATGTATGGTCACAGGAATTGATAGGGAGCCACTCAATGAGTTTCCTGCTGCCCCTAGACCCACAGGGTGGCAGGAGGAAGAGGAAGGGAAGCTTCTAGTGGCTGTCCCTTTTCCAGATTGGGCGGGGGTGGGTGTGGTACAAGTCAAAGATGCTAGCTAGTGCCCCTAGCACAGAGATGCTAGTCAGCCTTCAGAGCAGAGAACCCAGAATTATCGGTCGGATTCCTGGGGCCTTGCCTTTCTCCCTTCCCAGTCCTTGTTCCCAGGTGTGAGTGGGAAGGAGAAAATGGCTGTTTGGAGCTCATACCCAAAGAGCAGAAATAGCTACCAGGAGCGAGTCTGCGCAGAAACTGCTAGAAACCTTCAAATGTCACATAGCACCTCTGAACAATACAGACTTTTCTGTGAGCAGGAAAGAGGCCTCTCCTTTCTCCCACCTGTCTTCCCCGCAACCCTGGTCAGGACCCTGAATGCATCCTTCCTTTCTACTCCCCACCTTCCACCTGGCCCTCTGGACCGACCCTCCCGCCTGCTGTATGGATGCACAGTGCGTGTGTGAGCACACCACACACACGGTAGAGGGGGAACAAAAGATGGGGCCCTCCCGGATGTTTCTCACCACGAAAGGACTGAAATAAAAGCTAGTGAAACTAGAGGGGCTTCCACTTCCTCCTTTCCTCACTGTGGCTTCCGTCCAGACCCTCTCTTCCACTCGTCTTGGTAGCCGGGGCCCCAAGGGGGGCTTAGGGAGCTCCCCGGAGGTGGCATTTGGGCCTCACTCTCTGCCTTCGCCCTGGACAGCCCAGCTCCCAGCTGTCATCTTGCCCTCACAGGTCAACCACTCTCCGAGCTTCTCCACTGACTCCTGCTTGGATAAAGAGGTGAAGGACAGTCTGCTGTACGACACCTTGGTCCTGATCAACCTGGGAAGCTGTGACAAAAAGAAGGTCTTGGAGGAGGAGAGACAGCGGGGGCGGTTCCTGCAGCAGTGTCGTTCTCGCGAGACCAGGCACAGTAGCGCCCCTCCCCTTCGGGACCCTATTTTTTAATGAGTCCCCCCGCCCCCCCGCAATAAGGCTGGCCTATCCTGGTCCAAGTTATGATTCAACAGCCTACTGTTTATGTGGCCTTTATGTCACTGCTCTGAGCATTGATGTTCTTTCTGTGAAATGGAGCTAATGATACATAAAGTCATTGGGGGGAATTAAATGAGATAATGTGTGTAAAAGGCTTATCATAATGCCTGGCACTATAATTTGTGTTTCAGACTCTTAAGAGCTTTGCCTGGAGCTGGTGGGGAGGGTCGTCAGCTCTTACAAATGATTATCCTACTTGGAAAATTAGTTTGTATTTGTAGAAACTACAAATGTGGCAGTTTGAATGGTTTCACTGTGAATATTCCTTTTTTAGGAGACTTACATTACAGATACAACTATGTATAATGTATATAAGCATATTAATATCCTATGAAGATTCAGGGATTACCAATATGAAAAGTAAAACTGTTCCTTTATTTTTACAAAAAGAAAGATTTGTCTGCCCTACCTCATGCTACTGTGTTAGCAGGAGCTAATGTGTCCCTGCTCGCTGCTCAGAAGCACTTGCCTGACAGAGGCCTTCTTCTGCTGAGTGACTGTGGGGTCAGAAAACTGAGCCTGGGCGAGGAGATGCCTGTGTTGATTCTGAGACCCCACTGTGGCCCCTGCCCTCCTCCTGTGTGGCCCCTTGAGATTGAATTGGAACCGGGACAATAGCATGTGTGTTTGGATGGCACTGTGTTCCTCAGAGAGCTTTCACGTGTACTGTATTCCCCGTTAGGAGGGGCGTAGGCAGGTGGGGTGTTGTACGCTCCTGTTTGTGGCGCTAAGGAGACAAAAACTCTGGAAGGGGAACTGACTGGTATGAGGTCACCTCGCTGGTAAGTGCAGGTCTGGACCCAGAGCCCACGGGGTGTGTGGCCTGAGATTCCAGGATGCTGTCCATGGCGCCAGCTTTCTCTAAGTTCCTCGAGGGGGAAGCAGCCTCAGTTACGGAGCAGCCAGGCCCTCCCCTGAATCCTCCTCCTCCTCGTGACTGGGTCCTGGATAGCTCAGGGGCACTTGGTTTTCTCGCTGTAAAAGGGGCTTATCTTCCCTCCCTCCCTGACCTCCACCTTCCCAGGAGGCTGTGAGGAAGAATGAGCTCATCACAGCTCATAAAAGCTCACCCAGCTCACCCAAGAAGCCCTCAAATTTAGCAAAACACAAGCTGTCGTTCTCCAGAGAAAGACAGGGTGGTGGGGGCTGTGACTGGGCAGGGGGTGACAGTCTGCTTTGTCAGAACTAAGCCAAGAGGGAAATGGGTTTTCCTTGTAACAGGAGAGAACTGGATGAACGGTCGGAAAGACTGTTCCAAGCAGCTCTTAGTGCATTATGACGTTGGCTCTCCCAGGAGGGCTGGAACCCTCTTAGGGAAACATTTAGGAGAGACCAACTGACCACTGCTGTGTGCAGGGCCTCCCCCGCCTGGCCCTTGACAATGTCTAGCACGGCCGTGTCCCTTCTAAGCACTGGGCCATGTCCCAGTGCATCCCTGTGTTCTGATTGCCAACAGGATCGAGGAAGTCAAGGGTTTTCAGGCCTTGCGTCTAGAGAAAACTGAGAAGTATGAAAATGAAAACCGCGGAGGGTTCCGCCTGATTTATCCCAGTCCGAATTCGGAGAAGTATGAGAAGTTTTTCCAGGACAACAACTCCCTCTTCCAGAATACTGTGGCCTCCAGGGCCCGAGAGCTGTACGCCCGGTAGGAAGGCACCCGCGAGCGGGGCAGGGTGTTGAGGGGGTTGTGCCTAACCTGCTGGGCGACTGGCTTGGGACTGCGAGGAGGGTCTGTGAACTTCACTTCCCAACCTTGAAGTTGCCGGGAAAACATTTGCTTTAGTCTCACAAGGCCCAGGAATTGTAAGATTCCCTGTTGTGGGGTGTTGTTAAGTAGATAACGTGGCTGTTTCTAGAAACTCACCCCTGAGACAGGTACCCCCACCCTACTCCAGGATGCCCAGCCCCTCAGAGCTGCCTCCTGGTTCATGCAGGTGTCTAATCTAAGTGTTGGAAGGGACTCATCCCACCAGTCCAGTGCCCACCCACCACCTCGTTTTACAGAAGGAGAGGGCAGAGCAGAGAAGATGTCATAGAGAGATAATGACAGAAGAGGGACTGAGCCCTTGTCTCCTGACTCATGTGACTACATTATTTCCACTACATCATTGGCCAGAGAAGCCCAGAATATGAAGTGGTTCAATGTGGGAGCCCCTGACTTTGGCCTCCTACCCAGACCCTCTGCCCAGCACCTGCCATGTATGGGATCTGGCCTGCTGGGAGGTGGGGAGAGAGAGAGGTGTGACGGAGTGGAGTGGAGTCCCATTCTTTCACATCTCTTCTTGGATATTGTTCCCCAGATTGGGGATGGTGTGGCTGGACAGATGACTCTCCTTCACCTCCTGGTCTATGACCGTCAATCATTTGTGCAGGCCGGACCTACTGGGGGAGGAGATGTGGAGGTCTCTGCGCTTTGCCCGGTCTTGTCCGCCCCTCCAGGAGAATGCCCTCATTTGAAGCCCATCCCTAACCTATGTGACACTCACTTTTCCTCAATGGGCAGGCAGCTGATCCAGGAGCTGAGACTAAAACAGGAGAAAAAATCCTTCCAAGCGAAAGAGAAGAAGGTAGAGATGCAGGGGGAATTGGCAGGCGAACAAGCAAGAGGCAAGGGCTGGAAAAGCTGGCAACAGACGCAACGGCAGACATACAAGGCCCCTGCCACCCACGCCTCCAAACAAGTAAACCCGGATGGGAGGGGAGCCCCTGTGCCCAGCACCCTTCCCCGGCTGGGGCCAGTCCGTGGGGGGTGGCCGAGGAGACCGCTGCTCAGAGCCCAGACACACTGACGGAATGGGCGACACGGTGGGCTGGGCCACCAGAGGGGAGCCTAGAAGTCACGAGGAGCCCAGCGTCCTTCAGAGAGTCCCTCCATCCGGGCAGAGTGGACGCTCACTGGTCTGTCCTTCTTGACTCCTCCAGTAGGAGCTGGGAGGCTGAGCACAATCCCTACGTAGAGAGTGGGCTCCAGCATTACGTGTACTCATTGTCCCCAACTCCAGTTTGGGTGGTAACGTAACGCTCCCTTCCCAGGGGCCACAGGAAAGAGCTTCTGGGAGGCAGCACCTTCAGAACATTACATGGGTGACTAACCACAGCTGGGTCCTCTCAGCCTGTCCTCTGCTCAAACTGTGGACCATCCCCTGGCTGTGGGCCAGTTTCCTGTGATCTGAGTCTCTGGATTCCCCTTTCTCTGCCTAGCTTTCTCTTCTGGCTCAGTGGAGAGATTCAGCTGACTTTTTAATCCATCCCCGTCCTCTCAAAGACTCACCGGAAGGGACAGGATTAGAGTTTCGTGTTTTGTTTTGTTTTTGTTTTTCCCATAACTTTGTTGGGGTCATAGACTCTCTGAGTATCTGATAAAAGCTTTGGAATCTCTTGCCATAAAGTATACAAAGTTATAGTTTTAAGAGGTTCAAAGACCCCGTGAAACCATCCATGAGCTGTCCAGGAGACTTTGATACCGATTGCTTTCCTTCTCCTCCGCATCTCCTTTGCATCTTCACTCGGGTGCAGATGAATCTGGAATTAGACAGAGCTGGGTTCCCAGGAGTGTGTGTTTGGTTTCTTCCTTTCCAGTCCCTCCAGCCATTGGCATTACTGTCCTGCACGCCTGACATGCTCTTGAATGTCAGAGATGCGAGGAGAAATGAGACAGACAGCAGCCTTGACCAGGGGGCCACCAAGAAGGAGGATGGCCCTGTTCCTCTCAAGCCTAGGTCTGCACGACATTCTTCCTCTGTGCCTGACATCAGGAATTCAAGATTTCGCAGCAGCTCTGGGCTGGAGCTCAGTAAACCCAGCTCCAGAATCAAGGAAGCCAAGTCTGCCTCTGCAGTGAACGTATTCACTGGCACTCCGGTGAGTGGAGTGGTCGACGACCCAGAAGGCCGAGCTCAAGAGGTAGAGATGGGAGTCTTGTTTTCTTGTCTGTTCTCTGCCCCTGATGTCCTACGACCCTTTGAGTAGGACACTTCACCTTCCTGGGCCTTGATTTGCCCCCTTGTGGAGCCCAAGTTGTAGAATGGCATAGCTGCTGGGAGCAGCTACACTTTCTGGGCTTTTAGAAAGGCTGTCCTATGTATTCCCTCTTTTTAGGCAGAGTAAATTGTATGCTGCAGTGATTTGGCTGCCACCAATTGGATCCTAGCACTGCGAAAACAAATTACTATAACTGTGGAGGCTTAAAACACAAATTTATTCTCTTAAGTTATGGGGGCTATAAGTCTGAAAACAAGGTGCCAGCAGGGCCATGCTCCATCTGGAAGGCTCTCCAGGAAGGATCCGTCCTTGCTTGGTGCTCGTCACTAGCGGTTGCCGGCCGTCCTTGCATTCCTTGGCTTGTGGCAGCACAAGTCCTATCTCTGCCTCTGTCGTCACATGGACTTTTCCCCCTTGTTTCTCCTCTGTATATCGTCACATGACCTTCTTATAAGGATACCAGTCATTAGATTTAGGGCTCACCCTAATCCAGTATGACCCTGTTTTAACCTCTTATACAAGCAAATACCCTTTTGCCAACTAGGGTCACATTCTGAGGTTGTGGGTATGCATGAATTTGGGGAGGGGGGCACTCTTAAACCCAGTACACCGCCTAAACAGTGTTTCTCAAACACCATTAATGTATGGATGCCTTTTAAAGGACAGAAAACTCAGGTCCCCAGTGTAGACTTAAATTGTTTTTATAAATATATACAGGTATAAAACCAGATACAAAATCTTTATACTTGTAACTCCTATGTAACTCCAAAACCAAAGCAAAATGAACAAGGCCAATAAAATTCACACCAAAATATTAATTTAATGTGACATTTGACTTTCTACTTTTGCAGAAACTAAGTTGCCACATGGATGTGGTCCTGACAGTTTAAGCACAGGTTCTTCAGTGTTCATCTGAGTTAGGCCCATCAAGGACTATGTGATGACTCTACTAAAACTACTGGAAAATTTTCAGTATATTTGGGCCTTCACTTGGTCCGAGTGCAGTATAGCTTAATGCAATATTTTTCTAATTTCTTTCTTTAAAAAAAATATTTTATTTATTTATTTTTAGAGAGGGGAAGGGAGAGAGAAAGAGTGGGAGAGAAACATCAATGTGTGGTTGCCTCGCACATACCCCCAGCTGGGGACCTGGTCTCCAGCCCGGGCATGTGCCCTGACTGGGAATCGAACCCTGCAACCCTTCGGTTTGCAGGCCGGCGCTCAACCCACTGAGCCACACCAGCCAGGGCTCATTATTTTTATTTAAATATTTGGTTAGAGTTCTCCAGTGAGACTGTTTGGGTCTGAAGATTTCTTTCTTGGGATATCTTAAACTACAAGTTCAATATTTTAAAACAGTTATGCATTTTATTTTGAATGCCTTTTTATTTTTGAGGTATTGGTTCATTTTATCTGTTGTTGGATATATATATAAGAATTGTTTATAGTAATCTCCTATTATTCTTTTAATGTCTACAGAATCTGTAGTGAGACTCTCATGCTTGATACTGGTAATTCATTTATTCTTTCACTTTTTTTGTTTTTTGGTAAGTGTTGCTAGGAATTTATCAATGTATTGACTTTTTTCAAAGAACTGGGTTTTGGTTTCATTGTGGGCTTTTTTCTATTTTCTTATTTTGGATTTCATTGATTTCTACTCTTTATTAATACTTTTCTTCTGCTTGCTTTGGATTTATTTATTGTCTGATGTCATTTTTCTTTAGCCTGAAAAATTCCCTTTAGTATTTATTGTAATGTACCCTTATCTTCTGGTGATGAATTTTCTGGTTTTATTTATCAGCAAATGCCTTTATTTAGCTTTTACTTTGAAGGATATTTTTGTTGAAGCTAGAATTTTGGTTGGACATTTGTTTTGCAGCACTGTAAAAATGTTTTCTGATTCCTTCCTTCCTCCCTCCCTTCCTCCCTTCCTTCCTTCCTTAATTCATAACATTGTTCCCTATATGCAATGCGTCATTTTTAAATGACTGCTCTCTTTATCTCTGGATTTCAGCTATTTGGTTATGATGTGTCTTAAGTTAGCATTATTTGTATTTGCCATATTTAGGATTCTTGAGCTTATTGGTTTTGTAAATTGATGACTTCGAACAAATTTGAGAAGTTTGAGGATATTTCTTCAAATATTTTTTTCTGCCTTATTTTGTTCCTTTCTATTTTGCTTTCTGTATCGATGACTGCTCTACGTACCTCACATAAGTAAAACCATACAATATTTGTACTTCTGTTTCTAGCTTATTTCACTTAACATAACATTTTCAAAGTTCATTCATGTTGCATTATGTACCAGAATTTTCTTCTTTTTTAAGGCTGAATAGTATTCTATTATATGTATATATCACATTTATCCATTCATCTTTTGGTGGACATTTGGCTGCTTTTTGCTATTGCAAATAATGTTGCTGGGAACATGGGCATACATAATTTTTTAAAAGGAGCTATCTCACATCTTATTTTAAATGTATACCTAGGAACAGAGTTGCTGGTCACAGGGTATTTGCAATCTTATTTTACCAAGTATTTCTGGATGGTTCACCAGAATGCCTGCCTACATGCTCATCAGCGGTGTATGGGAGTCCCTGTATCTCTGCATTCCACCAACAGCTTTCTAATTTTTGCCAGTCTAATAACTGTGAAATAATATCTATTTCCCTGATTACCACTCTCTAGTGTTTAAAATCTCTGTCATATTTAAAGACCTCGAGAGGAAGCTCTGTGGACACCACCCACCATCTTCAGCCTATTCTTGGTTAGGAAATTATTCTAACCTAATCTTTCTTCCTGCTGATGAAATCAGCTCTTAATCTGTTTAAATCAAGAATGACGTAGAAAGGAGCCCTTTGTTTTCCACAATCTCATTTTGGATTGTTTTCTTTCCTAGCCCTTAACTTCAGCAGAAACCTCGGAATTTACCACTCAGGTCTCAGATTCCCCTGAGTCTCTGCTGAGCACCATCATGATGACCAGCTCCGAAAGCAGTAGCCCAGAGATGGGCAGGGTGGCCTCCTTGAAATGCAAGAAACAGCAGATCCCCCAGCACCTCCTCCAGGAGAAAATATCAATAATTTCTCTGCCTACAAAATCCCAGTGCTTCTTGGGGAATCCGAACCCAAGAAAGGCTTTAATAAAGAAAAACCTGAAGAAGCAGCATCTGATGTCAGAGCTCTTCACCAAGGTTCAACTGAGGAAGAAGTTCTCGTTCCCAGCTCTCTACGACACAAAGCTGGTGTTAAGTAACCAGTCACGTGAGTGCCAGCCTGTACAGGGAAGCGCCAAGAGCTTAGGGGACGGAGTAAACAACAGAATCATTCCTAATCTTTGGGGAGCATCCAGGCTGAAGCGGGGTGCATGCCCTGTCCTTAGGGAGCCTCTAGTTTTATTGAGAAGACAAGAAAGATAAGAATAGAATGCTATGTCTGAGGAGCCTCGTTCAGTTGAGGCCCATTCAGCTAAGTCTGTACCAATTGCGGGTGTTAAGTATGAAAAAACAGGGAAGAGGAACTATTTGGAGAAAAGGAACAATGGATGATTCTGATTCTGGATCAGATTTAGGCCGGGAGACCCTAGACGGATGTGGCCTTCACCAGGGGTTGGTGCTGTGAGTCCAGCAGCACAAACTGATAATGCCAATGACTTTGCCTTTGTAGGCTATTCCTCGCCACCCCAGGAGTGCTGCTTCTGCAGCCAAAGCTCTGGTGAGAAGAGGCCGCTAGATGTGTCCTCCCTCCTCCTCTTGAAGCGTTCTCACAGCCATGAGGTTTCTGTGAGGGATCTCCTGGTGGTGGCCACTTCAGCCCGACTGGATCCAAGGCCTGGCAGAAGCCATACAGGTGCTATGAGGGACCCGTGTATACAGGATCGGGGAGCGTACAGTCACTGCCTGATCACTGGCCGAAAACGATGTGAGAGGAAATAGGTAGGCCTGCCCGTATTTCCTTAAAGTGCCTGGCACATTAGCGCACACTATATGTATATATTACTGGAATATTGGGTAGGTAGGTGAATGGATGAATTGATCAGGGCATATAGGTAAGTAGCCCTGGCTGGTATGGCTGAGTGGATTGGGTGCCGGACTGCAAACCAAAGGGTTGCCGGTTTGATTCCCAGTCAGGGCACATGCCTGGGCTGTGGGCCAGGTCCCTAGTAGGGGGTGCACAAGAAGCAACCACACATTGATGTTTCTCTCCCTCACTTTCTCCCTCCCTTCCCCGTCTCCAAATATATAAATAAATAAATAAATAAATAAAAGACATACAGGTAATTAAGACTAACCTTAGTCAAAATATGACCCCCTTCCATATATATTTCTGCTATGACTGCTCCGTCCCCATGGCTTTAAGTGCACTTTGCCTTGTCTCCCACTTATGGATAAAATCGAGACCATCATTAATGCTGGTCCCAGAAGTAGAATCATGTCAACTGCGAGGGGTTGATTTCCACACCTTTCATACTGTGCCAATCTGGCCTGGGCACAGGCCCCTTGCCCCCCGAACTAGCCCTGCAATGGAGTGTACTGGAGGGGCTGAACAACTAGCCAGTGGGTTCTGAGATTTGGAAACAAAGACTTTAAAGTTTTAACTCTACCATATGAAAGAACCCAAAAGAGCAAGGAGCCCTTTGTCAGAACTTTAGTGCTTCTGAAGGAAGGTGGCATGTAAAACTTAGGAGAACTCTACAACATAGCATTGTGTACAGGGTGGGGCAAAAGGAGATTTACAGTGGTTTGTATGGAAAATACTACTATAATAGTTAATAAATAATAGTACGAGAAGAAACTCTGTTTTGCATGCTCACAACGGTAAACCTACTGTTGCCATACCCTGTATAGCTCCGGGGGTTGTGCTGCTTGGCTGCCTGTAGAAGAAGGCTGTCTATGTTTTAACCATCTCCCTCACTCCCGCCACCTAAAGCACACTGTGACCAGTCGGACTTGGCCACCTTGTGCCTCGCACTGCAGAAGGGCCAGCGAATAAACATCAGCCCACAGGCATAGCTTTGAGTACTTGTAAAAACTTATGGAGTAGCCATAAATATTTATACCTGATTTATCATAAGTATTCCAAATTTATTCCAAATTATGGAATCCAAATTATGGATTAGGGGCTTTCTTCATAGGTGTAATAATAACATTTTCTATTCTTCAAGTTTAGGAATTCTCTTTCATCTAATCCTCAGGCCAAGGCTGTGAGGTTGGCAAGGCAGGCGTTATTACCTTAGCCTCAAGATGCAGGTGAAGAGAATCAAAGTTTAAGGACATTAAATGACTTGCACAATCTCCTCCAACTGATAGGCTCTGGACAAATAGTGTGATGTTTCTTCTTCTTTACTGCTCTGCCCTGAGCATAGGGCGGGTCTGACCCATGTGAGAAATTTCTCCATTTTTCTCCTTAAATCACTATAATCTCATCATCCTTGTGGATCCACTTTCAAAGTCGGTCAGTCAAGCTCAACAGTTGAGTTTCAGGGGATAAACTATATTGTAGGATTTTAAGGATAATTAAAGCTTGCTAAAGTGGGGCGCCTTGCTGAATAAGTGGTAGCTGCCATTATGATGATAATGATGATGATACTGTGCTGATGCTGATAAGCTCAGCATGGACTGGACCAGGACACACTTGCTTCTGGGGGACCAAAAGCATTGCTTGCATTATCTCAATCCCCAGAGAAACTCTTATGTAGGGACTGCTGTTGTTATTCTTTTTTTTTTTTTTTCAAATGAGGAAGTCAAAGCTTAGAGAGGTTAAGTAACTTGCCCAAGGACACACAGATAGTGCGAACTCCTAAGCAGCTGCTCTTAATCACTATCACTTATGTCCGGCCAGTCATGGGGGCTGCTCTTAAATGATCTATAGCTAATGCTTGGGGCTGCAGGGATGCGGGAAGATGGAGGTTGTGTAGGTAAAATAAGTTTCTGGTGATGTGGGTGTGTATCAGCTGAGCATCTCTTGACCGACTAGATAAGAATGGTGATGATGTGTTAATTAACTTGAATATTCTAGAGGCCATTTTACCATTTTAAAAGGAATTTTTAAAAAATATCTTTTTTTTTTTCCAGAATCAAACTGGATCTGTGCCATTCTTCCCCTCCCCCTCCCCCCTTTTACTTTTTATTCCCAGGAAATAATTTATCTCACCTTACAGTGTTTACAATGCCCATAGGATCAAATGAGGGTTTTTTCTCCTCTTCTAGATATGCTGGTCTTATAGCTACCTCCCATTAACACCACTGAGGCCAGCATCCTTGCCTTTTGTGCCCTCCTGGTTACCTTCCCATGCTGTAGGACCATGACTTCTGGGAGTTATTGGTGCTGTCCCAGAACAGACCTCAGTTGTTCGTACCAGCGTCGTTCCTATGGGTCCCTCACATGGCACCATCATCAAGAACACTCCCCCAGAAGAGCAATGTGAAAAGGACTCACAATTTCCAAGAATCCAAAGTCCTCAGTCCACCAACAGGCCTGTGTCAGCTGGTCTTCAACTCCAAAGAGAAAAGGCAGAGAAAGGGCTAGGCATGATGGAGAACTCAGAGCCCCGAATAGGGGAACTGGGGCAGTTCTGATCACCAGGTACAGACCATACCTCCTCCCACCCCAGCCGCCTCAGCGCCCAAACATCTTCCCGCTGCCGTCCTTAGCAGCCTGACTCAATCTCACCAGTAAAGACAGAGGTGAGGCGAGAGCACCAAGCCTGCAGATGTTTCTTCCATCAACCTACAGGAATGATGCATTCCCCTCGCATGTGTACATTAAAAAAATAAATTACCATGCTCAATGCCGGGACAAGGAGCCTGATTCAGAGTCAGAACGGGAAAGGGATGTGGGAAAGATAGTTTACCCTCATTAAGAAAGCTCCAAATCCAAATCCTTTGAAGAATGTCTTTGGATGAGTGGTCTACAATGAGCCCCACGCCCTGCCTGGGAGCACAGAGCCCGAGGTGGCCCTTTGCAGGAGCAGAGTGGCTGCCTTGGCTGCCCGGCATGGGCCTGGCTCGGCTGCCAGCCTAACATCTCACTTTGCCTGCCAGGTTATTCTTTGCCCTCTCCAGGAATGTAATCCAAGGTTTTTGCGTCACTTGCGCTTTCTGAGTTAGATTCCTGGAGAGAGCTTGGAGGGCCAGCTCTCCAAGTGGAAGAAAGGTGAGGTCTGAGGTCAAATGCCTGCTTCACAGTGTCAACTCAGCTTTGTCTTATGGATTCTCAATGGAATGAATTTTTGGCCTCAAAGATATCAGGGGATTCTGGGATATCTGAAAACTATAGTATCCCTCAAGCAGAAGACCTTAATTTTTCAAGATATTAAATAGAAAAAAATTTTTAAAAGATTTTATTTATTTATTTTTAGACAGAGGAGAAGGGAGGGAGAGGAAGAGAAACATCGATGTGTGGTTGCCTCTTGTGCGCCCCCTGCCGGGTACCTGGCCCACAACCCAGGCATGTGCCCTGATTGGGAATCGAACAAGTGACCCTTTGGCTCACAGGCCGATGTTCAATCTACTGAACCACACCAGCCAGGGCTAAATAGAAAATATAGAATCAGGCCATTTGTGTCCAGCTGTAAAACACGTGTATATAATACCTTCATCTCCACATAGGCCTGGTTTTCAAGGACTCCTGGAGTAGGGTTCTTTTTAGTAAATAAGTGAAGGCCCACCTAGATGGCAGAAGAAAGAAGCCTTCGTTACCACTGGGCAGTCTAGTAAAAGCTTAACCGTCAGCGTGAACCCCCCCAGTCTCCACTTCAGCCCTTTCCTGACGCCCTTTAGAAGGTTGAAACAGACCATCCCGAGGCCAGTTTTCCCATTGTCATTATCAGGTTGTCATAGATCACAGCCAGGCCCATGCGAAAGATGGAAGACTTGCTAAAGTGGGGCTTCCTAGGAGCCCTCCATTTCTCCCTGGTCACCAGCCCCAAGCACTCAAGGTTCCTGCGCTGGTAAAAAGGAAGTCTCTTAATAAGGCAAAGTCAGAGTTACGTATTTTGCTGTGTATAATGTGCACCCACGTTTCTGTGTGCATTATATACGGGATCATTATACCCATGGTATGTAATCATTATGCCCATGTATAATGTGCATCCTTGTTTTTCCCTAAAATAATTGGGGGAAATGCACATTACACACAACAAAATTCTGTGTCTTTCTAAGGGACAATTCGGTGCCAGCACCTTTGATCCTAGAGACAGAGCCAGCTTCATGGGCATGCCGTCTCTGCGGCTACACAGGGCTCCACACTTAGACGGGCCCTGCGCTTGGTTTAATGCTCTATGGTCACCATCTTGAAATTCGGAATAATTTTTGAACAAAGGACCCTGCCTTTTCATTGCCCTGGGCCCGCCAAATTTTGTAGCCACTTTTAACTGGAGACTTTAACAGCTCTGGTTATCCAATGAGAAGGCAAAATGGCAGGTTGCCTTCCTAGCCCCACCCACCTTTTGTGTTCACCCATAGGGCTCTGCGGGACAACTGTCTGCTGAATGCTTGTGGGGGAGAAAAAAAAATGCTGTGGCTCTCCTTGCCCCATGGAATGTGCAGTGGTCCACAGATAACTAGCCACTGGGAAGAGAGCTGATAGATGAGAAGGAAGTGCCCTCACATACCCAGCAGGGAGGGTCAAGTTGGCTTCACTGGGGGACTCACTTGAGGGTGCAGGAAAAGATGAACAGGATTTTAAAAGTGCAAATGAGGTGTGGGACTGAGGTATAGAAACCTGGGGGGAGGGGGAATAAAAATCCTGAACATAATCAAGATGGAAGGTCTAGTCTAATTTGGCTGGATTAGAATGAGAACTGGGAGACAAGCGTGGAAAAAAAGATGGTTTAAACCCTGGCTGGTGTGGCTCAGAGGATTGAGTGCTGGCCTGTGAGTCAAAGGGTCGGTGGTTCGATTCCCAGTCAGGGTACATGCCCGGTTTGCGGGCCAGGTCCCCAGTAGGGGCATGAGAGATGCAGCCACACGTTGATGCTTCTCTCCCTCTCTCCCTCCCTCCTCCTCTCTCTAAAAGTAAGTAAATGAAGTCTTAAAAAAATAATACTGTGGAGATCTAAAGTGTTATCCTGGGAAGTATTTACCTTAACTCAGTGGACTGTGGAAAACCACTGAAAATTTTTTAATGGGAGAGCGATTTTATTTAGGGCGAGAAAGATGGATCTGGTAGCAGATGGTAAAATGGATGATCGGCAAGGAGAGAACCTGAGGTGGGAGAGTGGTTTGGAGGCTCCTACAGTGGCCTGGGTTCTAAGCCGTTGCCCCTTTCAGAATGGCTGACTGTGGGAAAGAAAAGGAGAAGGCAGGGGAAAAGGAAAAGGGAACAAAAAGGTGACTTCTGATGAATTGAGTCCCTGAAAGAAAATAGGAACATTGGGAGAAGATGCTTTTGGGGGATGGAGACCAGAGTATCTATTTAAAGCAAGTGGATGAGTTCCTGTCACCAAATGGATTTAAAAGAGTTGCACTGGCCCTGAGCAGTGTGGCTCAGTTGGGTATTGTCCCGCAAAGCGAAGGTCGTGGGTTCAATCCCAGGTCAGGGCACACGCCTGGATTGTGGGTTCGGATCCTGGTCAGAGCACCTGTAGGAGGCATCTGATCAATGTTTCTCTCTCACATCAATGTTTCTTTTCCTCTCTTTCTCCCTCCCTTCCCCCCTCTCTAAAAATAAATGAATAAAATCTTTAAAAATAAATAAATAAAAGAACCACACTAAATGAAAAGTTTCTAAATGCAAAAGACCAAGTTATTAAAAATAGCCACCTTGGACTAGGTAGATTCCCCAGGCTCAGAACTACCTGGGAGGTTTAAAAGATAGGTGTACCCTCACCTTATTACAGACCAAATCAGTCAGTTGCAGGGGGCAGAGGGGGGAAGTTGACCTGGATTTTGAAAGCTCCCTCATGCTGAGAAGCCATGTTTAGAAGCTGCTTATCTGGGCTCAGCCCACTCTGGACAGCTCCTAGCCCACCTCCAACAGGCAAGGTAATTCTCCTGAGCCTTAAAAGAGCGATTTCAGATTCCAGTTTTGCTTCCACCCTGGCAGGGAGCCTAAGTCAGGCAGACTGGCAGCTGTTCCAAGCGTCCTCCCCCACCCATACTGGGTGATTACATGAGCCAAATATAATCATTCACAGCCCTTGTCTTTACAGCTGGCATGTCACTTAGCTTAATTACAGCGCACTGTGGTGTTTCAACTTGAGGAATCTAAAAAAGCAATAAAATGGGTTTTGCAAATTGTTAGGAAGGCAATGAAGACCTTGGAACTGCAATTTACTAAATATTGCTTTCAATTATTTTGCATTCTCCATCCATGACTCTAACCAGCAGCCTGGGAAAACCAAACAGCAGTGTATCATGTTGGGGGGGGGGGTTCACGCCTCCTGCGTGCACACTGTGTGCTGGGGAGGTGGCTGGAGGCTCTGAGAACTGCCTTGGGGTGGGAGGGGTTGTGATTGTTCTGAGCACGTGTTCTTCCCATCCAACATCTGCTAATCATGCTTCCGCCATGACGCTCTCAAACCATGGGCTCTGACCGGTCTGGGGCGAACTTCAGCAAGGGACTCCCTTTTTACTGTGGAACATCTACCATCCACAGAAAGCAGAAGGAAAGAAGTGTGGGGAAACGAAACAAGTCCTTTAAAAATCTGGGGTTAGTGACTGGTTTCTCTGGTTCTTAGATTTCTTTTCCTGGCTTATTTCCTGGTTCTTCTTAACCTCTGAGAACGTACTCTTTGGGCAGCCATTTTGAAGACAAAGACTTTCCCAAGCCTGGTAGTTTTAGGAATGATGACATGAAGGGATCCCGTGCACCTGAGAAAGGCAGAAGCAGCAGGAAGCCGGAGCAGGACGTGTAAGACAGATCCCTCTTGCCGTGAGCAACACTGGTAGACACAGTATTGGGAGCAGAATGCCAGCTGCCTCAGCAGTTATGCCAGGCCAGTTATGCCAGGTGGGAGAGTAAACACCGAAATCCTGTTGGCAAAGCCAGCAGGGCCATCACACAGCGGCCAAAGCAAACAGGGGCCGAGGCAGGCCTGCTGCAATGGACTTTCACTTCCACTTGGATCTGGCGGAGGCTGAGCTGGCCGAGCCCACCTACCAGGGCATCACGTAGCCACGAGGATGCTCTTGCCCATCCCAAGGCTGCTCTTCCTGCTCCCTCTGCCACGGTCCCCTTTCAACTGGGCCCAGGCCAAGGAGTGTCTGGTAGTGATCAAGCATTTCACACCATTACTTTGTTTATTCTTCATAGCA